GTTGAACTCTTCCATGCAATCCAGACTCGCTATAGGTGCACGGCAGCTGCGCGTACAAAGTATACAGAGTATTAATAGGACACGATCGATCGAATGCTCGATACAACCACGCAAACGTTTACAATTAACCATTCCTGGTACGTCATCTTCCTTTCCTTCGATATTTATATTATACATGTCGCATATTCGTCGGCCGCGTCGCGTCGCGTCGCGTCGCGGCATTTTCTCTTCTTTCAACCATCTGAACGAGAAATCGGAAATCCAAAGTGGAGAGAAACACGGTAAGAGACACTTGGTCGCAACATGTTTCGTAAATGTTCGCATACGTAGTAACGCAAAAAGCGAACTGCAAACGGGTGGGTGGAAAGACGACCAACACTTCTGGGTATGCTGCTAATCGTAACACTCCAGAGACTTTTAATTCTCTTCGACTTGAACGACAATCAAAATCGAGGTATAGGGAGAAAGAGAGAAAAGCCTTAGGTACTCACCGATAAATAGTAGGCAGCGGATAGTAGTCGTCATCCTCCATGCTACTGTTCGTATTCGCATTGTTATTCGTATCGTTTCCTGCCGTGGACGTATTACCGAGATTGCATAACATTAAACGGGACATTGCTGTGTATCTTTGATATATCGCGCGCGCGTGTGTGGTATCAGCCGGAAGAATATCTTCCAAGAGAGAGGAAATTGCCAAGAGACAGAAAAGTTGCGAGATGGAGTCTCAATCCAGATCGAAGAAGAACGAGCTTGCTCGTTTCGGTTCAAGTAAAAGTGAAAGTAAGTTCGTTGAATGTCGTTTCTCAGGTTCGCTGATTCTCATACTTCTCGACAACGAATCGATCCAACTCCCGTCGCTGCATAATTCCCATCCGATGGTCGCAAACTTGGCTCGGTCCTTCTTTCCCGCTGAGATTCAGAGGAAACGATCACGGAATGAAACGGAGTAGTACATCGAGTCTGTCGAGTATCACTCTCGATGATCGTTAAACGTGGTCGTACTCAAATTCGGTTCGACGCTTCGATCGATCCGATTTCATGTCAGAGTCGTTCGATAAATTGATGCGTATCTGCATGTATATATATTTATTGCACACATACGTTACATAGGCACTAGTTTTTCTTTCTTTACTCAAGTTATTTAGGCACCACAGTAAAGAACATGGTAAGTAGGTATATATAAGTTCGCGACTATTCTCGTGCGTGATAGGTATATATCGGGAGGTTTTTCCAGGTTTGGCCTGAATGTCGCTCGAACACGACGACACGAACAAACAGCCCCTTGTTTAACAGCTAAGCACACGTCGTTACGTAAAAACGAACGGTGCTCGATATGAGTATCGATATGTGGTACGATTACCGGTGGAGGAAACAAGGCGCGACGATAACTTCGGTCCGAGCACTGAAACGAACCTTGAGCACCAAAAACCCACTTTTCGCCGATTCACTGGTCCACCCGATAACATTAGGAGTAGCTAAGACGATGGACCTGGTTCGTTCCGTAAATTTCATCAGCTCCAATTTCAATCTTTACGATAACGTTGCATCCAGTTCTGTTTCCGTTTCCAACTCTGATCCCTCCTTCCTCGACTTCGACTTGGCTCTTGATCTCGGTTTCGATCTCGATCGAACTATCAATCGCAATTGTACTTGTGCACTGTAAAGCAGTTCTAGCATCAACCCTCGTTGTCTGTCACGTATACGTAAAAACATTCGACGCCAATAATCTCGACGTGTTCTCCGTTCCTCCTCGTTTCCTCTTCGCACAACGTGCTTTCAAAGTACCTTTCTCTCTCTGTAACCAATCTCGGCTTAGGATTATACAACGAGGGTGGGTGAAGCGCGTCAACGGGGTTACGACGACGACGACGACGACGACGACGACGACGACGACGACGACGACGACGACGACGATGAAAAAGACAACGACAGCGGCAACGGCAACGACCACGGCAACCAAGAAGGACGTGTCGCAAAAAAGGAAAACACCGAAACGTGGAAGAAAAAGTTGGTGAAAAACGTCAAGATCCTATTGTAGAGTCGGCGAGTGTTATACCTCCTACGTGGTAAGCAACACTGCACAACTTCGATATACCGCGACTCCCTCCTTTTCCGCACAAGCTACCAGCGTGCGTGCGTTCGCGTCTCTCTTCCGCTACGAGCACCTTCGAGGTTGCGAGTAGGCGCGTGCGCGCGCTCGCGCACCACTCTCGCCGCGTACCCCCACCACTCCTTCCAACCCCTAACCGGAGGGTTGCGGTTGTTTTCAGAGCGCATGACGTTACCTACGTCGCATTCAACGCATTCGCCGCATTTGCCGCATCGAGCCTCTCTTGGAATTGTCTCTCGTTTGCCTGCTCTTTGCCTCGTGCCCCACTATTCCCTCCTCCTCGCTGTCTAACCCAAAACCGCGTCTTCTTTTCCTATTTTTTCACCCTTTCTTCTCTTATCTCTTTCAATCGACGTGGAATTGATTTCCCTCTTTCTCTCTTCTTATCGGGCAGGATGTCGTTACCGTCCAAGCCTTGAGAAACGTATCGATCGCGATCGTTTCGCGGTTTATAGTCATGCAACCAAGCAAGCGAATCTCTACCGACGAAGAAGCGAACGCTCTCTATCGTGTAATACAAATATCACGCATAATACAAGTATTTCAAAACTGCAATCGTGTATTATACGTTAATCGTGTAACGCGTTACTACAAAGAGAGTCTACGTAGAGAAAAGTTCTTGGGTAGAAAACGTAATGGTAACAGTCTCCGCGACAACGCCGCATTGCGGATCCGGCGTGGTGACGTGCAGCTGACCCCCCTTCCTGAACCGTTTATGGCCGCCCACGTTGTTCGACCTACCGACCTAATACGCGCTCGACCTACTGCCAGCCAGCCGACACACCACTCCTTACTACCGAGTTTCACCCTTTGTTACGCCACCGTGTTCGCGCCACCCGGCCGCGTTCGACACGCACGCACGCACACACACACACGCACAGCCATGCCAAGAAATCAGCGAAAACTGTTTTCTGATTATGTTCGCACGTGTTCGATCGGACGGCGATTCGTTTGACGGAACGCCAAAAACGTGTAAATAGGCAACGTATGCGCGCGTACGTTGCCCGAATCATCTCGCGATGGCCTGCCGATGCACAAGCCGGCGACCTTTATTTTTTTACTTACCCGTCAAAAATCTGCTACGTGTTCCGACGTGTTTCTGCTCCTTGCTGAAACGAATCTGCGCCGCGTGACGGTCGTGTTCACTTCCCGGATTCGCAGATCGACTCCTTCGTTGAAATCGTGCCAAAGGTCTCGAAAACATTGATTACAATTGCCAACACGCGAATATGTCGCATCCGCGGAAACAAGCGAAATACAATTTTTCGATCATCGGTACGATAATGCATTGTCGTGTTATACAATAATAAGAGAATTGGACAATAGGTTAGGAATCGGGTTTCGCAGCGATATCGCGGGCAACGCACGACAGCGGGACAGAAACCAGACCATCTACCATTTCTTTTGAATAACTTATTATAGTACTTTTTTTATTAAACTCGTTAAGTTCTTAGATTACCTAAATATACACCCTGCGGCGGCGATTTTCAGTACACGTCAATGCATTTTATTCGAAATTATCGTAACTATCGTAATTTGCCCGTTTCGACGATCGATCATCGTGGTGATCCGCAACGATGACCGATTATCGTAACTGTATTCTCAACCGTACTCACTTACCAGCGTACACCTATTCACGTTTATTTTATACCATCTATTCACGGAATGAGATGTCTGTAGAAGCGGCGGCAGTCTTTTCTACGCTATCGTACAATGGAACGTATTCATTACTCGCGCGCCTTTGCCCGTTCGTTGCAGTTTCTTTCTTCTTTCTCTCTCTCTCACTCATTCTCTCTCATTCTCTCTCATTCTCTCTCTCTCTCTCTCTCTCTCGCTCTCTCTCACGATCTCTCTTTTTCTTTTGTTCAACCAATCAATCTTTTCCTGTAGAGATGTAACGTAGAATTACAATTTCCATATTTATTGCATTATCGATGATTCCTCTGAAATCAAAGTTCGCATCGATGCTCTCTTTTCTTGTCACAATGCGTACATTGCACGTGAGTATATATATATGTATATATAGTATATATATAGTATACATATATATGTACTTATGTATGTATATGTATTGTATGTACGTTTCTCGACACTTTCGAAACGCGTACACGCCTCGATATTCTTTTATTTCTTAGTTTTAACCAGAGGACGAGATCTCCTTTTGTTCGTTTCTTTCCTTGTTCCCTTAGTTTTCGTATTCCTCTCGATCGTGTTCAGAAATTAAACGCTGTTCGCGATAAGAGGAACAGCGGGAGGACGATAGCGCGAGAGAAAGAGTGGGAAAGAAATGGAAATGGTAAGAACGATAAAACGGCGCGGCGATCTGCTATTTGATCGCGACGAAGAAAGGGAGGAGAGTTTCGAGTGCATGACGAGTAAAAGGAGAGGATAGGACTCTGTGACAGACAGAGAGGATATGTAGTGTAGTGTCGGGAGTGCAGGGTTCGAGAAGGAAATAATCATGATATGGAGCGAAGAGAGGTTCGGGACAAAGAAGAGTCTCGACGAGACGCGAGACGGGGGAAGAAGTAGTTTCGCATAATATAAAACAGCATTCTTCGGTCCACAATGTTGCTCGCAAGTTCGAGAGAACGTACGAGGATCGAGCAAACACCGTATCGAATATCATTAAGCGACTCTATTTTCGATTTTCGATCACTTGACCGTCCTCTGGCACGTGGGCAAGTTTACCCTGAAGAATACGTTCAGTTCTATCAATGAAGCTAATATGAGAAACACGGCATACATACATAAACAGGCTCGGCCTACTTTTCTATCGAGCTGAAACTTATTCGAAGCGAAAGCAATATAGAGTAGCATCAACGTCGACAACAACGATATGGCGCTGTACTCGAGCCCACCAGAGTTTATGCTGATGTAATGCTTTCCGGGTTGCGTCGGTGAAAATGACGATTTAATTAGCCACGGCAGACCCAAACACAACAATATGTCGAAGGTGTTTGATCCTATCGAGTTGCTAATACCCATCGAACCGTGTCCTGATACACAAAACAAATCGATCGAAACGTTTTTTCAACGTACAAGACAACGCGACGTCGCCTTAAATACTCCTTTCTTTCCTACTACTACTCTATTTGCTATTATCTTATACACATATCACGTTATGTACTTTACCTTGTTTCGCCACTATTACGCTTGACACGGCCTCCGGAACGCTGGTACCAGCCGCGAGGAAAGTGATACCCATTACAGAATCCGGTATCTTGAGAGTATCGCCTGAAAAGGCAAACACCTCGTTCATTTTCCTTCGCCCTCTTTTCTCTTACTCTCCCCCACACCCTTCCCTGCTTTTCTCCCCTTTACCAATTATCGTGATCATCCATGCGACAACGTAGCTCAACGATCCGATCCAAATGATGCACATGAGAAACGTTACTGGAAACCAATTCTTGAATCGCGGCTTCTCGCAGTCTGGTATTGTACACATGAAGATTAAATGAATCGGCCATGTCATGATCCATGCTGTTTTTCTTATCCATCCAGCTCGTGCCGGCCAGACCAGCAATTCGTATTCGTAATCTGCGATGGAGAAGGCGACGGACGATAACGCTCAACAATCAAATTTTCATCCGCTTTCTCTACACACTTACTAGGATCGGGACTCTCTTCTTGAGTTTTCGTTCCTCCGTTTTGTAACGGCACATCTATATGTTCAGCTTGTTCACCGGCAGGTTGCACTTTGTCAGATATTGCCAAGCGAATTTCTGTGCTGCCTTCTGAAAACAATTAGTATGCCGTATCTCTCGTGTCTTCTTAACGCTTGGAAAAGCGGCAGAAAAATCTCCAATACTCTATTACACGTCGGTCGTCCAAGAGAAAAGGAGAAACGTAGACAGGCAGAATTAGGGAGTAGGGGTACGGGGAGTAGGAGTTACCTGTCGCGTGTCGATGATCGTCCGATAACGATTGATCAGAGGTATGCGTACGGAATCGTGTGCATCGTTGAAACGATTTGTCCCAATACATCACCGCGATGTATACGATGTAGAGCAACACCAGCGTTAATGCTTCGTACCATTCTACCCGCTCGTCGTGTATGATACATATTAGAATGGCGACCGTAACGCCATACGCCAGACAATCTCTGCTAACTGGCCACCAATCCAAAGGAACTACCTGTACCATATTCGAGTAATCTGCGTACCTACTGTTCAACTTCCAATAATACATACATGTGAATATACCAGGCAGCTTACCATGCCAGCACCAATACCGCAACACGCCGGTACTGCCAGTATATTGAATACAGCCGAGCCTACTATTGTTCCAACACCGATGTCACCTTCGGTGATAAACGTGCCGATCGCGTTTACGAATAGTTCCGGTGCCGATGTTGCTGCAGCCATAAAGGTAGCACCCGCCACGTCCTTGGACATCGAAAGTGCTAAAATTTCAACAGAACGCTGTCTCTTTTCTTCTACGGATACGTATCGTAACCCAATATCCAATACCGACCATCCTTCGTCAATTCGCTTCTTTCGTAAAACAAGAGAAAAATAAAAGAGCTGCTCTTACCGTGACATATTTTTTCCACAGCAGGAACAAAAAATTTGTCGCATACCACCGCTAACGCGATAAATAGGTAAAGCGAAACGATCACGTGTACTACGACAGCTCCTCCTTGCCTCTGCTTCTCGTCGAAAAGATCGTGTGGAAAGTCTTCTATCGCTGGAGGTGTACAATTTATACCTAGAATGTGAAAGGTGGTATTTAGCACAAGTACTTTTATCATATACGAAACAACAGTCCTAATATACCAAGGAAAACGGTACGTAATATAACAGAGTTAAGGACAAAGGAACGAAATCTATCGCGAACCAAGCATCAACTTCTTCTCTTCTTTTAATTTTCAATATCGATGCTGTCGTCGAATCGAATAAGGAAACGGTATCATCCTCGATATTAAGTACATATATTCTTTCATATCGTTTCGTATCATTTCGTATCGTATCATCGATCGATCAATCGATCCAATGTCGAATATCTGCACTATCGATCGATACGAAAGATTTGCTCTCCACAGGTCGCTCGCTCGTGTCTCCTCCTCTTCGTCCGATTTTGGCTAAATACATTACATAAGTTTCGACACGGCCTTCAATGCCTAGTGTAGCGCAATTGCGAACACCAGTGTCGAATGCACGCTCCATTCGGTGATTACGAATCAGGATAATTGGTGGCATTCGTTCTACCAACTACGGTAACCACAAATGTAATCAGTTCACCGACCTTCGTTCTTCGTCGCCTATTCTCGATCCGTTTCTTCAGTCAAATTTCTCGTTCGTAGAAAGCTGAAATGGCCATAGCCCCCCCCCCCCCCATCGTTGATATCATGCATATTTTACTACATTAGAATGGTTCGCGTGTGTAGAACTTGGAAAACTTTGTACAAGCATTTGCTCGTGACTTATCGATCGATTAGTACACTTGGTAGCAAACTCGTGTCCATTGTACATACATTCAAGTACCTGTAGTGAATAGTATTATACGTATGTACAAGAGACGACGACACGATATCACAGCGCTGAATTACCCACGATAACGTTGATATTGCATCGATAGGTATATCGCGATGTATTTCACTTCGAGCAACGGATCCAGTCAAAATTGACAAGCCGCTTATTCCCCGTTTCTATGAGTTACTCAATGAAATAAACCATTCCCACGCGCACTCAAACGGACAAATAACTCTCGCGAGATCGTAGACCAGAGATGATCGTTACAATTGTTCTCTTGCGATGCTCCACTTTTATCATCGGGTCGTACCTTTGTCGCTTGTTCGATGCGTTCCCTTTCAGTTTTGCTACAGAGTACTATACATATACATATATTCTTGACAGAGGAAAATAGCGATAATTGACACAATTCCACATACACGTGAATGATTTTTTATAATTCACCGATCGATGTTACGTCCGTAGAAAAATTCGTACCTTTATCGATACAGGCAAACAGCGTTCATCGACGCAATAGTTTATTAAGCATCGCGGTAAAATATCGATGAGCAATCATACACGCACGCACGCACACACGCACGCACGCACAAAGCCCAAGCAAGTACTTCTAATAAACGGATCGTTTGAATTTTACTCTACATAAACTCCAAGGGGTTCGATACCAATCCTGATCATCGTTACGTACGTTAATCTTCGGAAGATTATCTATGCGAGATTTCCATGTGTTTTGATAAATGCTGACAAAATGTTCGTAATAAGCTTTCTAAAAGAAAAACACGCACACAAACTTCGAACAAACTCGGAATAGTGTGAAACTAAACTCGTTGGAATAGATTTTACTTACTACTCCAGTTCAAGATTAACAATGCACCGTTGACGCGTGGCGTTCGTGGCTTTTCGTACAGGGAAGGGAAAAACGTTTACCTGTTACAGATCTCGTCTCGGTTTCTCTGCATAACGAAAATTCCTCTATCTCGCTGTTCGTCTTTTCGATTATTCTTTCCATCTCTTTCATCTTTGATTTTTCAGTTTGTAACGTGAAGAAACGTACTCTGTCGGCATATAGATACGTACATGTATGTATATGTATATCTATTTTACGACGCGATCGTTCGAAAGTCTGATTCACAACTACAAGGACCTTCGCCCTTAGATACCGATAATTTTTCTCCTATGATGTCTCTTCTAGCCGACGTAACGAAGCAAACGATGCACGTATTGGTGTCTTGTACAGGTTACACAGCTGTATAGTTGATGTGACTTCCTACCGATTAAGCAACCTAAAGAAGTTAAATTGCTCTCATTCAAGTTGGCAGAGGAGATGCCATTCATGTCTAATGTACGTCGTATAAACTAGATATAACGTGGCTCGGCCATACGGTGTCGAACGGTATCGTCTCGTTGGAAACAAACGAAGACCATCGGCTAGTAGCCGTCGATCGTTAAACGTTACTTCCCAATTAGCAATCTGTTGATTCTCCTGGGCATAGTTAGCGGTGTTTCGAAACGAGCTTAAAGGTTCGTGGTTCGTTGTTTCATTTCGTCCTCGATCAAATCTGTCACGTACAGCGCACTGCTCGCAATTTTTTAATTTACGTCCCTCTCCTTCTCCCTCTTCTCTCTCTCTCTCTCTCTCTCTCTCTCTCTCTCTCTCTACCCTCCCACCCCCTCTCCCCCCTGTCCTTTCCTATAATTAACTGTTCCATTACTTGTTAAGCGTTATACGCCTCTTGTTGTTCCATTTCGGCCTTCCACGTATTCTTCTTCCGATAGTTTGCCAAAAGTCACATTTTATTGCGCAACACGCATGGCCGAACGGGAAAAGGATCTTTGTTATTAAAGTGAATTTTCCACTGCACATAGAATTGAAGTTTCTGTTAGAATTGACGAATCTCAATTCTAGATCGTTATCCTACTATACGGACTAAATCCCCTTGGAAATTGATCTTTTTTTCGTTACACGTCCAAACACTATCATTCGTCAGATTTCTTTCGAGAATCGTTAACTCGTTGAACTTACCAAACTGCATATACTATTCAGGAAAGCAAAATTCCATGTAAAATACAGGTGACTAAAGGAGGAGTCTAAGACAGAGGACTGGAGGAGGAGTGGAGGGTTCGAAGAGAGGGAGAGAAGGTGAGTGAGTGAACGAATAAGAAAAGGAGGAGGAGGGGAGGGTGGACGAGAGAGAGAGAGAGAGAGAGAGAGAGAGAGAGAGAGAAGTGACTCAAAGAGCAAGACTAAATTTGTCAAGCAACTGAGTTATTTGGCAAAATTTGGAAAAACTACAAACTGCTTGCAGTTTCGTACAAGATCCCCCCCGGCACGAATGTCACACTGAACTGTTACGCGACATATACGACAATACGTATGCAAGCAGATAACTTGTATAAATCATTTCGTACGAATAAACATTTTTCTTTGCGCGATGTTACGCGTTCGATGAAGAACGCTCTTCTCCAGACCGAGAACCCCTCTACCGTGTTGCCTTTTAACGATCATCGTAAACTAAATCACAAATGTTGCTGCGCGATACGCAACACAACACGACACACGTTTAATCTTTCAATTGACGATATGCACCATTTTACGAGAAGCTCTCTACGCTTGTTCTACGCGCTCTTGCATATTCACCCTTGTCCCCGCCATCTGCTTCTTCACCATTTTCCACCCCGTCCTCCTTCATCCTTCTCCATCCTCCACATTCTTGCTTTTCCCTCTTCCTGTATATTCTTCTACTCTTTCCTCTGTTGTTGTTGCTGCTAATGCTAGTGCTAACCATCCTGCTGTTCCTCCTCCACCTCCTCCTGGTGCTGCTGCTCCACCGCCCCTCCTCCTCCTCCTCCTCCTCCTCCTCCTCCTCCTCCTCCTCCTCCTCCTCCTCCTCCTCCGCCACCTCCTCCTTCTCCTCCTCCTCCCTCCTCTTCCTCCACCTCCTCCTGCTCCTTCTCTTCCTACGTCTCCTCCTCCTTATTCGATACTTTAATTTCCATTCCATTTAATATTATCCCATTCCGTCTTTCACCATCATCGAAACACACCCCCCGACCGTCCTTGTATCGTGACTCAACTCGTTGTACCGTGAACAACCATCGATTTTCGATAATATTCAAAATGTATTCCAACGAACCTCCTCCTAAGTCAGACGTATCCATGTTGTCAATCCCGTTGTCACACATATACTACATTAACAACTACTCCGAAGTCCGTCAGCGTTTGTTGGAATCGCCCCTCCCTCCGACTCTTCTCTTCTCATCTCTCGCGCATCGCGCCCGCTGAATCGTGCCGCGGTCAAAATGCGAAATCGTCATCGCGCTAATCGTCGTTATGGCTTCCTTGAAAATTGAACGTCGTAGGTACACACATATCGTGCACATTTCGTTCCGACTTTGTCATGTGACGGCACCGCCACAACCAACCACTATTTTCCATTCTTATTTCTATCTCCCTCTCAACTCCCTTCCCTGTTTCTTTCCTCTTTCTCTCCTTCTTCTTCTCACCTTTTTCACGTACCTTGAAACACGGTGCCGCCGTTGCGGTACCGCGAGCACGAGAAACAACAACATGACAAAACGTTGACGGATGAACGAACCAATTAACGCACGGACTCACCGAACGTTTAACAAAAGCGAACGCGAAACCAGCGCGATAGAATTATTCTCGTTATCGAACATTGTGCACTTAAAATCATCGAATATCCATCCATCTTCTTCTGTATACAGAAACAAAACGGTAACAACACTCAACTCGGTCGTGGTTAGAATAGTTCCAGGCATAAATCGGTTATGGTAAAATTAGTAGAGAGTAACTTTTAGGCAGAAGAAAAAAGGAGAAAAGAGATCAGGTTCCACCGACCATCATCACCGTTAGATGTGTATTTATGTAATTGGCAGCGTTCCAGTAGCAGGAACACTCCTTTCGTTGAATTATCAGTAAAGGGATGTCTTGACTCGCTTCGTATAGTATCTTATCTGTGTAAAGTTGGAGTCGATAATGCTCGTAAATGAAAAACATCAATGCGGCCTACCGTTCGACTTGGTAGTGAATCAAAATTAGTATCACGCGGAACGGCAGGCCGCATCGTTCATTCTACAATACATCACTGAGAAACTTCTCTCTCCTTACGATTAATCGCGAGATACCGTGAATTGTTACGATGGCGCGAATACACAGGCGGACGATGGGCTACAAAATATTCTGCATGATCGTCATTCTAACGGTGTATTTCATTTTCGTAAATACATCGACCATGTTTGATCCAAACAATGCAGCAACTTCGGGCAACCCTACGGATACGCGTAAGTTTCTCAATGCCCTCTCTCTCTCTTCTAATTACATCCACTATGTACAATACCTCCAACATTCCCGCGATTTTGCTTTTTTCAAACACGCGCACCCCTTCCCCCAGGTGCCACACGACCAACCATTACATACTTGCGTCCTCTTATATGCAGAGCAAACGCACGACTAATGACAAGCGATAACCAATAAAGGACAATTAGACATTCACCAACGGCAACGGTGCATCTTGTTATACACGAGTCGTCTATCTTCTACGAAAGAGAAGATAAAGAAGATATCGCGATACGAAAATTTCGAATGAATCATTACGTTCAATACGTTCACAGTATCTGCAACATCTACACCATCCGATATACGATGTACCTACATACTTATACATAGTAGTATTTACGTCGCCTATCGTCTCTCATCATGGTTCTTCTGGGAAAAATTCCCATATACATAGAAACAAACATCTCTCTGCTTTTAACGTTATTTACTCTCCCCTTCTTCACCCTCCCTTTTCTTCTATTCGCAACAACAGCACACGTCCTACGTATCAATGCATATCCACACCGTTTCACTGTTCAAGGACTTCGCAAGCTGCTACAAATCGGACCATCTACCGTAGAACCAGGAGAAAATGAAACGTACAACTGCACTCCCCCAGCGATCAAAGAGTTTCCATCCGATGGTCTTACGCGGCAGGAAAGACAATCGGGGTTTATAATTGTACACTTCGTAATAGCGATTTACATGTTTCTCTTACTCGCTATCGTCTGCGACGATTTTTTCGTCCCATCGATTAAAAAGATTTGCGAGAGTAAGTTAATAAGTATAGCCATCTTTCTACGTTTCATTCCCGCTTCAGGGAAAGAAAGAACAAAGAAACGAGAAAAAATCGTCTGCTACTGTCGAGATGGATCGAGATGGACTAAATTTCCATTCGATTTTCAGAGATTAACGTGACAGAGGATGTCGCAGGAGCGACGATTATGGCAGCAGCTAGCTCTAGCCCAGAATTATTCATCAATATCGTAGGAACGTTTGTCACGGAAGGAGATTTGGGTGTCGGTACGATCGTTGGTTCCGCGGTTTTCAATATATTAGCTGTGCCTGCTTGTTGCGGTTTATTCGCTAATCAGGTGCGAGTCCTCCTACTTACCTCTCTCGTCTCGTCCGATGGATAGGCCGCTGTTCTACGTGATATCGGTTACACGTTCTCCAACGTAACCACTGTATGTAACCAAACAAACATTTCCCCTGCAGGTACTGAATCTGGAATGGTGGCCGGTAACACGAGACACTGTCGCCTACACCATTACGGTTCTTCTACTAATTGTAACCTTACGAGATGGCCGCGTCGAGTGGTACGAAGCCCTCATTCTCGTTATTACCTACGTTTTGTACATTTTAGGTATGTTCGCCAAACTACGCTACAGATCGACTTTATTCAACATCGCAACTTTCGAAAATGTCATCGGAATTTTTCACCAAACTTTTTCTCCTTTCAGCTATGTGTTTCAATCGTAGTATACGCAAGTTTATCAAACGCGCAACCACTACGAGGAAACAATACAAGAATCTTTCCGAACAAACTCCTCTAATTTCCAACGGTACGTAATCACATCGATTCCTTTCTTCTCTTTTTCCTTCTTTCCTCTTTTTTCTTCTCTCATTAGACAAAATTCTTCTTTCAGACATTGCGAAAGACACGAACCTCAATTTGTTCGAGTCTTGCGAGAAGGACGAAACGCGTAAGTAACGTGGAAAAACTCCTCCTTACCCCCGTCGTCCCTTCACAATTCACACTACGACCAGTAAACTGACTACGACTAAGAAAACTTTAAGAAACTTCTATTGTTCTAGTCGACATCGCAAATATGACAAACTGGCCAAACTCGATATGCGAACGAATTTGGTGGTTGATCACCTGGCCGATAAATCTCGTCCTCCTCGTCACGATTCCCGACTGCAGAAGAAATACGTTGAAATCTTGGTATCCTCTTACTTTTATCATGTGCATTATATGGATAGCAACTACTTCGTACATAGTCGGATGGGTCATCACTGTAATTGGTACGCATTTTTACGCATTATTCGTTGTTCTCTAATTCATTCTCTACTCATATCTCGTTTCTTTTCAACGAACGATACCATTGCTAGAATAAGCCGAGTAGTAACATCGACATCGCGTGACAATCAATTATTATTTCAGGCGATACATTTAGGATCCCCGACTCCATAATGGGATTGA